TTTCCTCGCCGAGTTCACTGTCCTCATCATTATCCCTATGCGGTATGCTCGTGACAGCGTGTCGGCGATGTACATGTATTTGCCGGGTACGTAGGTGATGCTGAACTGATATCGCTGCAGTCTCAACAGCATTCTTTGCAAACGCGGTGACACTTGCGCGAGGGGTTTCTTGATAATTCCTGTGAGCGGCTTGTGATCGGATTGCACTTCCACCTGCCTCCTGTAGACGTATTGGTGAAATTTCTCACAGGCAAACACTATTGCCAGTAGCTCTTTTTCGATTTGAGCGTAGTTACACTCTGCTGCCGTCAGTGACCTAGACACATAGGCTACTGGACCGTCCTGCAGCAGGCATGCACCAAGCCCATTCTGTGATGCATCGGCTTGAATTTTCACAGGTTTTTTCTGATCATAGTAGTGTAGTACGGGTGCGCTGGTCAACTCGCCTTTGATGGCTTGAAGGGCTTTCTCATCCCACACCCATGCATTATCTTTCTTGAGCAGATCTCTGAGCGGTGCCGTGATTTCAGCCATGTTCGGAATAAACTTCGCGGGGTAGTTGACCATTCCTAAGAGTCTTTGGAGAGCTGCCTTGTCGGTCGGAGTTGGCATGTCTGCTATGGCTCGCACTTTCCGCTCATCCGGCTTGAGTCCTTCTGGAGTGATCACATTTCTCATGTACTCGACTGTATCCACCTTGAATTGCATTTTGGTGGGGTTGAATTTGACATTCTGTTCTCTTGCCCTTTCCAGCACTCTCCTCACGATCCTGTCATGCTCCTCTGGGGGTATCAGCGGCGATAATCATGTCGTCAGCAATTATGCATACATCTTTCACGTCACCGAACACTTGTTGGTTCCTCTTCTGGAATACTTCACTGCCTGAACAGATACCGAAAGACATTTTCAGGAACCGGTATCGGGAATACGGCGTATTGAAGGTGCATAGGAGTGAGGATTCATGGTCGAGTTGCACCTGCCAGTAGTCATCTTTCTCGTCCAGGATCGGGAAGAATTTCTTGCCATGTAATTGTGCAGCAACGTCTTCTGGCGTCGGTATTTTGTAATGTTCTCGCCTTATGCCATGTTCAAGTCGCGCGGATCTAGGCAGAGTCGTAGAGAACCGTTCTTTTTCTCCACTATCACGAGCCTGCTCACCCAGTCTGTGGGCTCCTCCACGGTGGTTATGGCACCTTCTGCCTCCATTCTGTCCAGGGTGTCCTTCAGCTTCCGTTGAAGGCTGAAGGGGACTTTTCTGGGCGGGTGAACTACTGGTTTGATGCTGGGGTCTAGCTCAATCTTATATGTTCCTTCAAATTTCCCGAGCCCTTTAAACATATCCTCATATTCTTTCATGATGTCATCCTTTGTGAGGGGTTTCTCCTCCATGACAATTTCTAGCCTCGCAATGAGCATCCAGAGAGACCGGGTACAAGATGGCGTT